ATGTTAATTTGTGATATGCGTGCAAAAGTGTACAAATCTGTGTTTGTTTTTCCTCCTCAGTTGTTTTCTTAAAAATGTTAAATTTCAGTTTTAGTTTAAAGTCGTGGCTAACAGGCTAACCAATATTAGCACAAAGTGATCAATATTATACCGTTTGTGTACCGTTCCTTCTCCACGTTTTATTTGCATTTTTGCACAACATTGGACAAAATATTAGTAAAACTATATATATTTTTTGTTAGCATTAATATCCATATTTATTTTCCCGTTTGTTTAGATGGAGGCCACTGAGAGCCGCTGCATGTGGCCTGCAGACCTCGGCCCAGGATCGTTGATGCCGTGAGTTAGTTTTAATTTAAAGAATCTTTAATCGATGCATAAGAAAGTCTTTCAGGTCGTCTGGCTCTGATGAGACGGTTCACATGACGAACATGAATATATTTCACTTTTAAAAACCTTATAGTGCTTCGACGCAGACTGGAGATTTAAAACCAGTGTGTTTTGCTCATGTTGCCACGATAAGAACATTTCTAAAATACTTTAAAGTGTTAGAAAATGTGTTTTCTTGTAGATTAATTTGAATCCTGCATCAGTTTGTTTTCACCTATTAATGTGGTTATTAGAGTGTTCCATAATGAAGAAGCAACACAGTTTGATGAGTTAATTAGAATTACCAAACAATTATTATTCTATTGATCCTGTAATAAATCTTATATTTATACATTTTCTGGTTGTTTTGATGCTTGTTCATATGAAAATTAAGAGGATAAACTGACAATGCTCCTGAAAAACAACAGAAAAGTGTTAAAATAAAGAATGGAGCCGACATTTTAAAGATTCCCGTTCATAAAAATAAATAAATAAATAAATAATGAATCTAAAAACTGAAGTGGATTCAGCGAGACTTAAACTCAGTTTGGGGGATCTTGTTTACTCCAAGTCTTTGAGCAGACGTCTTACAGGACCAAGTTACGTTGAATATTTAAAATGATGGATCAGCACGTGCTAATGTTGGAAAACGTGCGTTTCTCGTGCACAGGAACCCGTCACCACGTGCCAAGTGTCACTGCTGCTGCAGGAGTCGATGGACCATATGGAGAGTGTCTCTGTTCTCGACGGGTTTCAAAGCAGAAACAAACTGAAGAATCAGCCGCATGTGGAGCTGCACTTTCACCAGCACGTCAGACCACGCAAACAAAAGCCTCTGAGTGACAGACGGGGATCTCAGGGATCTGTCCTTCCTGCTTGTCTACACAACAAAGCCTTCCAGAGAGCGTTCACAGCCAGCTGCTGCGGCGCCAATCTTCCAGCAGCGAACAACTGCAAAGAAAGGAGCGTCAGGATCAAGAGAATCGTGTTCTAATATTAGACGTGCTCTTGGTGCAGTGGGGTGTTTGTACTTTAACTCAGGATAATGTGAGCGGGAACGTGTTGTGTGGCTCAGATGCATCCGAGTCACCGTCAGACGTTGTGTTGGGTGTAAAGAACAAGACTGGACCGGTTCTTTCAGCACCGCTGCCTCAGCCACATAAAGCAAAATGTCTGTCACTCATCCGTTGTTACAGATGTTGGCCTGGAACGTGCAGAAGCTGCAGCAGACCATCAACTCATACTGTCGCACGAGCGCAAACGGGACGTGCAACATCTTTGCTTAAGGTTTTAAATTTAACGTTAGAGTCAAGTCTGTCTGTTTGCAACACATCTTAAATAAACTAGTTGATGGATTTCAACAAACTTCTTGGGAAAGAATCGCTGGATGTGGGAGTTTGGTTTCGCTGCAGTTCCAAGATGACGTGGATCAGCCACACCTGTGGTCCATCCCCCTGATGAGCACCAGGAGAACATAAAGGTGCAGAAGAGCTCATTACAAGCCTACTGGTATCTGCTTCTATCCTCTACGTGTGATTAGCTGTGATAGTTAAGACTTGTGCTCTCTTTGCGTTTGTGATCCACTGGATCCTCGACTCCTCTGAGTGTAAAACCTGAAATCCTTGGACCTCCTCTGCTGTCTCCTCCACCTTCCAACCACTTGCCTACCACACCTGTGAGTCTCCTCCTACACCTCCTTCTCTTGTGCTGGAACAGTTTGGACTTTCTTCCTCGCTACGTTCCATGACACCAACTGGTTCCAGATCCTCTCTTGAACATTTTTGGTAAACCGCAGTCCCTCGTTACTTCGCAGTTCGTTTGTCGCAGACTCGCTCTATTGCGGCTTTTCCAAAGGATTGAACATGACCTGCAGCTGGCTGATTGATGGATGAGCCACACGATTGGCATGACATTTTTATCCATCCATCCATTTCCTTCCACTTATCCTGGGTCAGATCGTGGGGGAAGACCAGACCTCCCTCTCTCCAGCCACTTGGTCCAGCTCCTCCGGGGGAATCCTGAGGCGTTCCCAGGCCAGTTGAGAAACATAGTCCCTCCAGCGTGTCCTGGGTCTTCCTCTGGGTCTCCTCCCGGTGGGACATGTTCGGAACACCTCAGGGAGGCGTCCACAAAGCATCCTAACCAGATGCCCGAGCCACCTCAACTGGCTCCTCTTGACGTGGAGAAGCAGCGACTCTACTCTTGAGTCCCTCCCGGATGATCGAGCTTCTCACCCTATCTCTAAGGGAGATTTTTATTTAAAATAAATTATTTAAAATTATTTAGCACCTGTGTGCACCCCACAGGTGCAGAAAAAGCTTCCTCCTGTAGCGTGTCAGGATCTCCACTCTGCAGCCGAGAAGTGGGCGTGGCCAAGAGCGGAGGAGGCAGGGCGCTGAAATCATGACAAGCTGTGCTCATTTAGAGATTTAGTTTACAAACATTGTTTAGAATATTGAAAGAGTGTGGGAAGGGTTTAAAATGCCTTTATATATATACATATATGTATATATATATATATTAAAAAAACAACCACTTACCACTTGTACTAATATTCCTACTCTGCAGTTTTTCACTTATCGCTTCAGGGTACGGATCCCCGTGATAAATGAGGGACTACTGTATATCACTGTAAATGAAGCACTGTTGACTTTACAAGTTTTGGAGTTCGTCTTTCTTCAGTCCATGCTCTCTGGGCTCCTAGTGTTGGTTCGTTACGCTGGATGTGCAACCACAGCTGATAAACTTTTGTAATCAACTCATTTCAAGATGGCCACTCAAGCTAATCGACTTCAACAGACACGAACATGATTCTATTTAATTTCCTGTGACATGTTGTTTATCCAGCGCCAGAGTAAACCTCTTTTATTTTTGTCTGTCAGGCTGAAAGGTAAGGCAACAAACGCTCAGGTTCGACCGTCCAGAGCTGCTCCGGAGTCTCTGTCCCGGTTGTGGAAGCACAAGAGCGTCTTGTTTGGTGTGTGTCAGTAAAATGTGCATACTGACAGGAAAATGTATCAACCCTTCTGCATCTTCTTGGAAACGTGTGCGCGTCCTTGCATCACAACCTGTTAGTCTCTCAGCGTTATCGTCACTTCCTCATCTGCCCCCCCGTGACCTGCGACGGTGAAAAAGACAAAGAGGGAGCGAAATGGAAGAAGAGGAGGAAGAGGAAAAACAGGTTTCACCGCTTTCAGAGAGGCTCCATCAGTGAGGACCCTCCCTCCCACCCAACCTAATCACATTACTCGAGAAAAAGTTTACTTATGGCTAATGGAATTCGCTTAAAATTGAACTGCTGGGGCAAAAGTAGATTTGCATTGATCCAGATATGTATAGAGCCAAAGTCAGTCTATCTATCCTGTGAGGGAATTAAAGGCCGCTAAGCCTATAGAGCCAGACTGTATAATCCTATGTTTAAAGATCAATACTGGCTGGAACCCACGTGAGCGCTTTTCATTGTGTTGTTTTTGTGTGTGTGTCTGAACACACACTCTCTACAAGATACGGTTCATTTCTTCAAAAACGTCTCTGTTCTTACCATAAATCTGTTGTTGTCTGCGCTACATCGAACACCAAAGGTGCGTTTGGGCGAATCTGAGCGAGTCTTTCGCGGTCGTATTGTTGCCTCTCTCTAAATAAACCTGGCTGCCCTGGATTTATTGAGTCTGACACCCCATGTGGACCTGGAGAGCCCTGAGTCAGCTTTAACTTCTGAGAAAAACAGAAGGATCAGGCAGAACAAGAGGACTAAATGTGGACGGTTCAGGTGTTTTTATGACTTGTTCTCTTACAACGTCGCTCTCACATTTATTATAAAAGAAGCATGAAGGCACGAATAATAAAAACCTTTACAAGACATGACTCTAAACTAGGGTTTATTATGAAGAACCAAAATACAAACCAAAGTCTCTTTGGGAGTAACGGCTGAAGAACAGTCCCTTGGATCAACAGAGATGAAGATCATTTGTAAAAATAAATACATGCACACATTTAATTGAATATTAAATTAATGTTCAATTAATATTTGTGTTCATGCAGCTGAGCTTAGGTGAATTCGGCAAATAACATTTTTAAGGGGGCTTGTACACCAAGCAGTCTGTAAAGACCAAATCCACGACCAGTAAGGACATGTGGTGCATGAAGACGTTCAGTAACTTCAGACTTTGGACTGAAGCAGAGAATGACTCTGCTCAAGGTTTTAACTAACATGGCTGAGAATGTTAACTGCCCATGAACCATGTGTTTGAGTTAGCAGAGTTCTTTTCTGTCTCAGAGAGAGCTGACTGAGAGCTGGATGAGAGCTGGATGAGTGAGAGCAGGATGAGTGAGAGCAGGATGAGAGCTGACTGAGAGCTGGATGAGTGAGAGCTGGATGAGAGCTGGATGAGAGCTGG